GAGTGTGAGTGAAGCATCCAAAACGCCACGCTAGGAACAAGTGGAATAATTTAAGCAAAATCTTCCTAACAGCTTTTGCCCCAAGAAATCAAAGGCTGCTTTCTCGTCTTTCTGCTGGGCTTTCACTCAGCATACTTTACTCCTAGACAGTGCTTCAAACGGTGAGAACTTGTGGTGTGAGGCACCACCCCCCGGGCAGTGGGACTGCAGAGCCTTTGGTCAGCTGCCTGCCCCAGGCGCCTCCTCACGACGCAGACGGGCGCTGGGAGGATGTCGTTTGGCTGCTCTGTTCCAAACACCCACCACAGGAGCTGATTAAAGCACGGCTCTGGCACGCTGTCCTGGCACTGCAGACACTTTTTAAAGTGGATTTGGAAAAAAAAAAAAAAAAGTGTTTCCCTTGAGATGCAAACTAGACAATCAGCAAAACCACAGCCCCCGTGTCTGCCGATTCCACTTCATCGAACTCTGCTGATCCCCCCTGTGAGCAGCTCTGTGCAGCTGACCACAGCTCTGCCAGACAGAGCGACTGGGGCTTCACACACCCGTTTAAATTGGAAAAACATCTTCCTCCTTCTCAGTTTTTCCACACTTTTTCTGAAGGCTGCCTGGAGCCTGCAGAGCCACTGCTGCTGCTCCGCCACAAGCCGTGGCACCGCAGCACTGCTCGTCAGCCCCAGAGTGAGAGCTGCAACCCCTGCCTCCCACCCAAGAGATGGGTCAAAGTCACAAAGGAAGGGACATGGACACGAGGTAACAAACTAAGTGGTGAAAACCCTAATGTGTACCTCACCCAGGCATTTGTATCTGTCCCCAGTGAGAACCTGGGGCTGAGACTGGTTTCATCAGGAAGAAGGAAGGGCCAGCAGCTCAACCCACCACCCTGTTCCCCACCTTAGCTCTGGTGAGCTGGCATCTGTGCCACAAAGAGCCATGATCAGCACCAACCCTATGGCTTCTCACAGCTCTTTTAATCTTGACTGTTTTTTGCTCAAAACCAAACATTAACTAATCAATCACTAAGAGACTGAACAGCTAAATGCTAAACCAATTCCCAAGATCTTGTGGCAAAAATCAGCCTTCTGGGAGCTTCCCAGTTGAAAAACCATGGGTTTGGGTTAGAATGGACCTTTACAGATCATCTAGAAGATCTGCTCCATTCCCAATGCAGCCTGCTCTGTCAGCAGCCCTGTATGGCCACCTCTTCCCAACTGACACATCCCACAGCAGCCCTCAGGGCACAGTTAAGGGCAGGACAGAGCCCAGTAAGCAAATCACAGGAGCAATGGTGCCATTTTCATGCTACCAGGAGCTACTTCACACCAGAACCCTAAAAGAGATCACAGAAAGAACCTGCATGTCAAATTCCAACCCATTATGCAGGGCTGCAGCAGAGGAAGAGAGAGGAGCAGAGCAAAGCCTGCTGCTCCCCCCCTTCAAGAGAAGAGGATCCTTTGCCTCCAAAGCACTCATCCTGAGACTCTCCATATTTCCATATAGCTCTATTTTGACTGTGCTCAAATTGCTGATTAAGTGTATGTAAACTTGAACTGATGATAAAGGATCTTGTCATCATCATTCTGCTGGGATTTTGTCAGAATGCACCTGAACTTTATGCAAGAAAACAGCCATCAGCTTCAGCAAGGCAGATGGGATTTTTTTAAATTATTTTCTATCAGTTTTCATGTTGGGAGCCTCTGCTGCCATCACAGATCTGCTTTCCAAACCTTTCCAGCGTGACCCAGGGTGTTTCAGTCACTCCCCACCATTCAGAGATGCTGAAGCTCTGAGTTTCTGACTAGAGCAAGAGGAGGAAAGTTCACACAAGTTCCTTCTTCCACAGAATCAGAGGCTTCAGACTGTTTCCACTGAGAGTTTCTAAAAGGCATGAGGTCAGCACTTCCACCTCTTTAGCTCATGGCTCAGAGACAGGCTCTGGGCAGCCTGTACCTGGTTCCTGCAACCACCATCTGACCATTCTTCTGCTAGTGACTCCTCGGTCACCCCAAAATAGTAAGAGGAAAGAGAACAGCTCACTGCTAAGTGCCCAGCATCACAGCCCAGAGTGACAGGGGTATTTTCAGGACATACATCCTGCTGCCCATATCCAACAAGCCCAGCTGGCAGGACAGACAGCAGCACTGGGGGCTGCACACACCAGCCCACTGCTCTGCCCCATCACTGAAGTGGGAGAATCAGCTAAACCCACGCCCCAATACTTGGCAGGAGTCAGTCACCCCACTCCTCCAGTCCTCCTGTGTGGGCGACATGGGGACCTGCAGCCAGGGACTGCTGGGTATCTGCTGCCAGTGGCTCTGTGGTGTTTGGTGGCTGCTGGCCTCTTGGTGAGGCACTGCTCCTCTGTGCCACTGCCCTGGCTCCCTGCACAGCCCCAGTGCCAGCGTGCTCAGCTAGGGCTGCTCTGAGCCACCCAGCCCTGGCAGGGACCTGCTCAAACCTGCCCTGGCCGAGGGCATCAAAGCAGTGCTGAAGATGCTTCCTGGGGTGCCAGGGAGGTGGCATGAGCCAAAGCAGAGCCTGCTGCCCAAGACCAAGAGGAAACTGCAACCACCTTCTCCCACAGCAGCACCTCTCAGCCCCCAGCCAGCCAACTTACCAATGGCCAGTTTCTCCCAGTACCAAAACACACATCAGCTGGCAGGCAGGACCCCAGCAAGGCCACGCTGATAACCAGAAGACTGAGATGTGAAAGCCAGACAAGCCCAACAGATTCTTCTAGATAGCACCAGCCAAGAGAAGAGCAGGGCTGAGTGCAGTTACCACTCCAGCTCTTCGGGGGGTTCTGGTTTTTAAAAGTAGCTGGCCTAAATTCCCAGTTCCACTCACAAGACCCACTTCTGGTGGAAAGCAGCTCTTACGTAAGGGAAAAGCAGATCCCTGTGTCAGCAGTGGCAAAGTCTGGGACTCCGCACAGTCTGTGCCTCATCCTCACACCACCACACACTCCTCCTGCAGACACAACCTGCTCCAGAGAGCTGCGTGTTTCTGGAATACATTTGTCAAGCTATTGCAATGCAGTTTTAAATGGACACTTGCTTTTAGGGAACTACAGTAAATCTGATAACGACTGTTCTCAAAATATCTGGCTTTTCCCATCACCAGTGCTCCTAACTGGTGCTTAATGGGTTTTAACATCTGCGTGTTACAAAGAAGTAGGTTTATCTCACCCTGACTATTTATCACACCCGCCTCCAAATGTCCTCCATCTATAGTCAAGCAGTTTGAAATTCTCCATCTCCTCTCCCCTGTGCCACCATGGTACTTACTCTGAATGACGCCTGTCAATGCCACTGAACAACTCCCACAGCTCCTCCGAGCTCAGGATCCCATCAGCAAAATAGTTCTTGAACTCCTCAAATGACAGCTTCCCATCATCTGCATTTAAATAAAAGGGAAGAATAATTATATATCTGCAGAAAGAAGCACACAGGCCCCAGTGATCCTCCCAGCAGCCTCTCTACTGGGAGCGTGGGACGGTTGGGCGTGTGGTGCATAACAATTAGAGCAGACATCTCATTGAAAGTGCATCCCACCACTCCCCATCACAAACCCAGGAGCGCTGCCATGCAGGGCCACTGCTGCTGGAATTCCAGGTGGGAATTTCACCCCCTTCCTGACAACTCCACTGCAGCATTTTCAGAAATGGATGCAGACCCTCTGTGCTTAGACAACTATCCAAGTACAGAGTCCACTACAAACAGCACAGCGAGGAAAGCATCAGGCTTTAATGGAAGGAAAATCTTTCTATTGACTCAAGAGCTTCTTCCTTCCTCTCTGCAGAGGACTTCAGCTCCTGGGCTATATTTTGATCTACGATAAAAGCAGTTCCTGGAGCAAGCTACTTTGAACAAGAAGAGGCCAAGATGGGGTGGAAAGGCTCAGAGAAACAACTTGTGATTTTGGACTTCTTGGTTTACAGGTGCCAGATTAAAAACTAGGTAGCAAAGCCTAACTCTCCTATTCCAGGGACTCCAGTGGGCATCCAGGAACAGGGGCACCTGCAAAACCCTGGGCTAAGCATGGAGGCTGGATCAACCCTGCAAGGGACAGACAGCCTGACAGCCCCTGGGCTGCCTGCTCCACGGCTGGCTTTGCCTTCTCGCTGGGAGCAGTGCAGAGGAGCAGCCGTGTGTGTGCAGGCAGGAGAAGGGCTTTGAAGGGCCCCTGTCCTGTGTGGCTCATGGGTGATGACCTGGGGCAGCCCACCTCCCCAGCCCCTGGCAAAGCTCTTTGCTCCAGTGCTTTTTTCCTCCAGACAAAGCAGAGCAGCATCTTTCTTGCAGCTAGATTGCTGCTCGCCCTCCTCCTCCTCCTCCCGTTTCAGCCAAACCTCGCAGCAGGACGGGCTGTGCTGCTTCCCCAGCGCTGTGCAGAGAGGGGGCAGCAGCACCCACAGCGCACTCACCGTTCTTGTCGGCTCGCCGGAAGATCTGCAAGAGAAAATAGAGCAGGCAGCAGGGAGAGCAGCGTGGCACTGCCACCCCGGGCAAACCAGCCCCAGTGCCACACAGCCCGCTCTGGAAATTCCCTCTAGCAAACGACTGAAGCCGTTGCTGGCCAACAACGAGCAGAGCTCAGCCACTGAGCAGAGCTCTCAGCCACTGAGCGAGCCCAGCTCACAGCCAGCGTCTTTAAGAGAGCACAGAGGGAGCTGAGGCAGAGAGGGCTGCACCACGCCCGTGTGACCACAAGTGTTTAATTTTTCAGGCCCTTTAAATGAAAGAACATTAAGCCTAAAATCACTCCGTGCAGGAGCACTTTGTGCATCACCGCTGACACTTCAACTGCCTGCAGGAGGAGCGGCTCTTATCACAATCAGCCTTCACAAGAATCCTTCCTGTGACACCTCAACGTGCACATACACCACAATTAATAATTAATTCACTAATCTGTAACTAATTCTGCCACAGAGCACAGCTGGAGAGCTGCTCCAGTTCAGGGTCCTAACAACAAGGCCTCTGCCTGCAGTCCAGGAGAAAGCTGGGGCTCCTTATGCCTGCCTGGCTCCTCTTTCACCAGCTCTGGGGCTGACGCCGGTGTGGAGCAACAGCATTTCCAAAGCCTGGGAACATCCCAGAGTGAGCAGTGTGAGGTTTTAGCCAGCATATCTTAACAGAGCCAACAACAGAAAGCTGTGTGTGGCAACTTTCTCTTTTTTAATGATCCTGTCTGACAAAGAAATCTGAAGAAAGATCAGGAATGAGAAAGGGCAGGTGTTACCATCCTCTCCACACACCTTGCAAAGCAGAGACCACTGATAAAAGGGTCCTCAGGCCAGCTCCCCTCCTCCCCACACACTGACAGCTTCACTCTGCGTTCTGAGGGCACAAGCCCACATCTAGCCACGGAAACATCCCTGAAAAACTAAAGAAACAGCCACCCAGAGAAACCTCCACTGCTCGCTCCTCAGGAAACCATTCGTATGCAACTGGGAAGAGGCTCTTCTGGTGCTGGTCCCATCAGGGAGCTCCCTGGTCCTTCCCTGTGACCAAAACCAGGAGCAGGGATGCCTCCTCCTCCTTGGGTGCTTTTCTGAGCATGGCAAACTCCTCTGGAGAAGCGGCACTGCAAGGAATGGAGGCTGCCCTGAGCTAGGCAGTGTTAGGTGACCATTCCTCCAGCGTCTGGGCTTCCCGGGCACCAGCCAGGCTGTGTCCCGTGCTGGGGAGCAGGCAGGGGCTCTCCCAGCTCACTGGATGTGCTTCAGAGCTTTCCCACCACCAGCTGAGACAGGAACCCACAGCTCCCCCCCGCTGGGGATTTCTCTGGGTTTCAAAGCAAAGCTTTCTGCAGGCTGAAGGGTTTGCTTGCACATAAGGGTCTCACAGCTGCAGGGTTACACACGGGGGCTCCGGACCTGCCGGGGTGGCATCAGTGGGTCACACAGGCTTGTGCCACCCTGCCAGCCCCCTGCCTTGGCCACCCCTCTTCCAGCACAGCAGCCTTCACCCTGCAGGGCTCTGTCCCTGGAGGGATGCACAGCTCACACAAGGACGTCTCTGACTCCAAACATCACCAAGGCAAGCTGGTTCACCCCAAAACAACCAAGTATCCTCCAGGCACTTAAATACAGATTCAAGTGTATCCAAAGATTTTCCACTCACAGGTTGTGCTTACTCAGCAGGGTCTGTCTGCAGGGTAATCGTGCAGCTCTTGCACAATTTTAGGAGGATCCCATGGGGCTGAGAGGGTCTCTAATCTGGGGTGAGCCCATCCTGGACTCCGCAGGAAGCTCAGCAGGCAGAGCTGATGAGCTCCTCACACAGGAGATCCTCTGTCCCAGCAGCACAGCAGGAAGGTGCTGCCAGTGCACACGCCAGAGCTGCCAGAGCTCAGACTAAGTAACTGTGGTGCCAGCAGCAGAACTTGGAGAGCCCTGAGAGGTGAGGTGTCTGCTCCACACCCCCCAGGGACAGTGGGGCTCCTCGGTTTGCCTCCAGCAAGCCTGTCCTCGGCTGACCCCAGCTTGCTGCAGGGGCTGCCCCAGGGAGTGCTTCATGCACCAGGTAACACCGATGGCTCCTGTGTGTAAAGTGGGATCCAACTCCAGCCAAGCAAAAATAGTGCAGAGCCACTTCCAGACTCCACGGCATGACCCCCACCTCCCCCGGGGTGCTGGGACATGGACAGCAATGGCAGAGAAGTGCTGCTCCTGGTGTGGACCCTCTTCCCTGGCCCTGGGACCAAGCCAGGGAAAAGTGATTCAAAGCCAGGCTGAGAACAGGATTGGGTCTGTGTCAGCTGCTGGAGAAGCCCTACAGACAATCCCTCATTTGCACCCAGTGGTCTGGCAGGCTCAGAAACACAGGGATGCTGCCTCAAGCCCAAGATTCTCCCCTTAGCCCCTGGCTCCTGGGCTTGAGGCCAAGCAGCCACAGCCCTGCTCGGTGCCTACAGTGGCACGCACACCATGCCTGATGGAAGAGGCACCAAACTGGACTTGTCTGGGGACTGGAAGCCCACACACCTCAGGAAGGTGTCCAGTCCGCAGGGCTGGAAGTCACCGCGGCTGCTGGCCATGCAGCCAGGGACACGTCAGCTGATGGGGAGTGGACACTGTGCCCATCGACCCACTGCTGGCTGCAGCAAGGAACAGCTTCTCCGAACCTCCCCAAACCTCTCCACCAAGAGAGGAGCAAGCCAGCCCCAAGCACCAGCCTGGGGGAGGGGGTGCAAACAGCCCAGGGGTGGAGATGCCTGTGCAGAGATACACCTGCGATGGCAGCACTGCGGTTCATGCCATGCCTGCAGCAAAGCATCTCAGGCAGAGCCTTCCTCCTCCTCCTCACCTCTCCTGAAGGCAGGCGATCTGTGGGCAGGGAGACTGCGGCTCTGGTGCCACAGGAGCACTGGCTGCCAGCCGAGATCTGAGGTAGGCAGCCCGAGGCTGGGATCCTGCCCCGTGCCACAGGAGCACTGGCTGCCAGCCGAGATCTGAGGTGGGCAGCCCGAGGCTGGGATCCTGCCCCGCTGCAGTGGGGGCAGCTCACCCTGACAAGCCTCAGGGGGCAGATGGATGCCCACCAACTGCCTAGACCTCAAAGCCCAGATATTGAACTCACCCTGCCAAGCTCCGGAGCTGAAGCAGGAGCAAAGACAGCCCCGGGGAAGAGGAAGGGAAGCTGCCAGAACCCAGAAAATAGCAGCTAGTGCCATTTTAATTGCCTTAATGATGCCCTGAGGGATAGATGTGGGACTCAGCAAGTGCTCATAGGAGCCGACCTGAACACAGCTGTCACCAACCTCCCTCCAAGCCCATCTTCTGTCAGCCAAGTAGTCAGTGCAGTTAATGACCTGGCTGGAGAGCCCTGAAGTCCCCCCACGGCAGAAGGGATACCCTGACCCCCAGCTGTAAGCCACCAGCACCACCGCTGCCATGCTTTCCATCCGCTCCCTGGTCACGCCAGGAGGTCTCTCACACAGAGCCCCAGACCCCACACGGCATCCACCTTCCCAAAGTGCTGCCCAAGATCTGCTCCCCTCCTCCAAGGATGAGCTGGGGCATGACAGGGGTGGCACCACCCGGACTGGGACAGGACCGAGATAACCGCTGGCACTGTCCTGGTCTGTGCAGGTGCTGGGGCATCACACCGACCCTCCCCCTTAACCCTCGCTTGCTTTCTCCCCCCCAGTGCCTGCAGCAGGGCAGGGGCAGCACCCCCACCCGCACGTCTCCATGACTCCACAGGGTGATTTAGACCCCAGCAGCACCAGTTCCAGGGGAACACAAGGGCTGGTGTCCCGCTAGGCAGGTCC